GACTTGCAAGACATGCAGGCTCCATGGAGGCGGGTCAATCGCGATAGTGCCTCCTGATTCAAGTGGTGAGACATCGCGCGAGCTGCTACCTGGTTTCTTCTGCGCAGCAGCGCAACAAACTGTGCATTCGAATGCATGGGCGTCGCTCGCCTTGCGCCTCGCGCGTAGAAAGCCAACAATTCGGGAGCTAACAATGCAGTGGTTTCACGTCAACATGCAAGTGCTTGCAACTACTTGCGCTCAGTCACCGCAATGTGTAAGTTTCCGAAACCATCTTGCTAAGTCTCCTAACTCTTACAACCACCCAAGTTCACCACAGCGGGAGCGGGTGCCGGGGGGGGGGGCCGGGGAGAGGTGCCAGGGGGGGAGGGGGGCGCCAGGGGGGGGTGCCAGGGGGGGGTGCCAGGGGGGGGTGCCGGGGGGGATGCCAGGGGAAGGTCCTTCTGCTTTGTTTCCCTGCCCTCATACTTCTCCTCCTTGCCTCTTCCTCCTTTTTATGTTTCTCCCCTCCTCGTCCTCTTTTTTTCCCTTCCCTCCTTGCCTTCTCCTCCTCCTCCTCCTCCTCTTCCTTCTCCCCCTCCTCCTGCTCCTCCTCCTCCTCCTCATCCTCCTCGTCCTCATCCTCATTATTCTCATCCTCCCCTCGTTTTCCTCCTCCCTATCCTGCTCATCCTCCTTCTCCTTCTGGATCCTTCTCCTCCTCCTCCTCCTCCTCCCCCCTGCCCTCCTCCTCCTCCTCTTCCACCACGTCGCCAAATTCAAGGCCCCAGAGACGTCCGGTTCGGTGAGGTTCAGTCAGGTTCGGCCCGGTTCGGTTCGAAATCGAATCCGGTTCGGTTCGGTTCGGTTCGAAATTGGGTCTCATGCGGTTCCGGTTCGGCCCGGTTCTTGTTGACAAAATGGGCGGTTCGTCCCGGTTCGGTTCGGCCCGGTTCGGTTCGGCCGATTCGGTTCGGTTTTGAGCCTGCCTGCGCTCACAGAGAGCTTCAGGGACTGTGAGAGTCGCCAGATGGCGAGAGCGACGAGACGGAGGCGATTGCAGACCTCAGATGCGTTGGCGTCGTGGGTCCGCGAGCAAGTCACACCTCCACATTATGGGGGTCGCGCGTCGTCTTTGCCTGACGTTGCATTTGACGCATCGAATCATATATTTTGTTTGGGCACTGACAAGCTGGAGGGTCTCAGCGATCCTGCTTGGAGCTCGCCTTTTCCTGCGAGCGAGGATCTTGGCACGATGCTGACTGCGATGCTCGTCAAGGTCGGCGGTGCTGCGGACATTTTAGAGGCTGCGTGGGCGTCCGTCGTTTTCGAGGAGGGTGTGCTCGTGACGAAGGTAGAGACTGACGAGCAGGGCGTGCTCGTGTTCCGGACAACGTATTTTGTATTGTCCGTCACGCAGCACGGTTTCATGGCATGGGAGACGGAGAGCGAAGTGCGCGCGGGGAAAATTGAGTACTATGAGTTCGCGAGTGTCACATTGGCCGTCCCCCAACCTACCTTCTTGGATTTCACTACAGATCCAGAGATAGCCGAGTGGAGTGTCTCGCGCTCGCGCAGTTCCCCCGTCTGGCCAGGGCGCAGTGCCCGAATGCGTTCGGGGCATTGGGCGTTGCATTATCATGTCCACTGGAGCGTCGATGTCCGTCTTGGAGGCAGGCGCCCGCTCTGGGTTCCAGGGCCTGACAGTGCAATTCCTATCGAAGCTGTATTCGGCAGTGGGTGTGAAGAGCAAAAAAAAGGCGCAAACCTACATCGGAGCATGGCTCACTGTCTGCGTTGTTGCGGCGCGCTCTCCCGGACCTCGACGAGGCGGAGTACGCTAGGATCATCGCCCCGCGTGCGAAACCGTCGGCGACGGGGTGCGACAGCGAGCTTTTAAAAGACGGCGCAGTGAAGGAGGTACAACTCTTGGTGGACGAAGGCGACATCGAAGATGTCGAACACCATGTCGCCAAAGCAAAGGGGGGGAGCTGCTGCGCCGAAGGGGGGTAGTGCCGCTGCGATCCCAGCTGTGGATGCTGGACACGTCGGCCCTGCTCCTGAGGTGACCGCCGAGTGGGCTTCAGCCTACTTGCCAACAGTAAAGTGCGTCTCGCTGATTATGGAGACCAACCTGCACATGCGATGGTGCGGCGAATACATGGGGAAGCCCACGCCACCCTACCATAACACAAAGTCGCGGGCGGCTTCAAAGGAGGGTGTCCTCGAGGCACTGAAATTCGTGCTCCAGGAATTGTGGGTGGCACGAGTGTAACCCTAGCGAAAAGTGCCCTCAGTATGTAGATGCGCTCGTTTTCCCATGACGCGAGGCAGCGTGGTGTCATGTGCTGTCGGCCATCGGGTTTTTCATGGTTACCTTCAGGGCTTAGTGGGCCCTGGAAACGACAGGGCCGTTTTTTTACCGGTTCCGTTTTGCTGTTTTTTTTTTTGCCGATTCCGACGCCGTTTGTTTACCGGCTCCGTCGCAGTTCTTTTGCGGGTTCCCGCTCCGGTTCCACACCTGGAGCCGTTTTTGTTGCCGTTTCCGGTCGCCGTTTTTTGTCGTTTCCATTTTCAAGGGACATTTTTTTTGGAAGCGTTGACAAAACGGCCCTGCCGTTTCCGGGGCCCACTAAGCTTCAGGGCGATTGTAGTGTAGTGCGCGCGATGGCCATTGCAACGATGGCAGTGATGACTGCGTGGTTCCGAGTGTGCCTCTGTTCATGGCAATCCAGAGTTTGGCGAAGCCTGGCCGTTATGGTTTCTAGTCTGCTGCTCTGTTCATATTTCTTTTCTGGGATTGGACAAGGGGATGGGGCAGAACATGGAGGAGAAGGGCGAAAGGCAAAGGTGAGGACGGGGAGGAGGAGGAGGAGGAGGAGGAGAAGGAGGAGCAGGAGGAGGAGGAGGTTTTTTTTGCGGGCGCACCCCGTCGCAGCCCATTACCGGGCGGTGAAAGTCGCTGGAGCAGCGGCGCGGGGCAAAACGGCAACGAAGCAGCATCGCCTCCTTCCCCCGATACATTCCGCATGCCTCAGGCCAGCTCTAGAGGAAGAGGAAAAGGGGCCAGGGAGGCATTCCGGAGCTTCATCGCCCGATGTTGCTTGCGGTCGCAACATCGCCATCATATGGGTATACAAAGCCTTTGGGAACCTTTGGGAGAAAACCCTGCCCTAGAACTCCTTTTGCAACCCGCCAGACGGGGGACCCGTTGCACTGGTGGACCCCCGCCGACGGCAAAGCACGATGGAAAGTTGCAGGAGCCTGCGCCCCGCACGTGTTGCGCGCTGCGCGCGCAGGGAGCCGCAGCAAGAACGAGCCAGCAGGATGCGCAGACTGGCGAAGGAGATGTGCCAACGGGCATAGCTCATCAGCGCTCAGAGCCGCAGGGCAGCCAGAGCCCACACAGCGGAAGGAAGCACTGCTGTTGGGAACAGCAGGGCAGTTGAACCGCACCATCTCGTGGCGGAGTTCCTCGGGCCACGGAAACACGGAATCACAGCAGCCGCGCGAGATGGAGACGACGCAGCAACCCCAGCAGCACAGCCACAACCAGCAACCCCAGCATCGCAGCATCAGAGGGAAGCACACCCCGAGCTGCAGGACGATTTGATGCAGGATGAGGCGAGCGGGGGTGGGGGCAAGGAGAGCTGCTGTTGGCGGCGGCAAGGGCAGCAACTGGTCCACCATAAGGAGAACGGCATAGTAGCCAGGCATATGCTGAAGAAGGACCCGCGCCAACCCGAGACCGCGACCAATGATGGAGCAGCTAAAGAGCCAGATGGAAGCTGCGGTGAGAGAGCCCACACCAGAGCGGATCACCGTCAACGCCGCGGGCCAGAGCCCGCAGCAGCCGCAGCCAGCAAAGATGCAGCGCACAGCTGCAGAGGGCCAGCAGGGCAGCCAGCAGGGCAGACCATCGGCTTGCCGCTGCACCCGTAGGCCTGGCCATTGGAGGCGATGGGCGGACGCGGCTGCTGGGAGGCCGCAGTGGGCGGCGAAGGCAGCTGCTGGCAGAGGCGAGACCGCTGCCGCGTGCCGCACCGAACTCATCCGAACGCGTTCGGAACCGCGTCGGTAGATGCGACGCGCGAACCCCGCCCCGAAGCAGCGTCCTAAGCAGCGTCCTCGTTCGTCTCTTCCTCCTCTTCCTCCTCCTCGCCTCCTCCTTCTCCTCCTGATCCTCCTGATCCTCATCCTCTCTTCCTTCTCTTCCCTTGAATTCCCTTCAAGTCTCCGTCATTCACACCGTGTCCGTTCGCGTTTCATAGTATTGTTCATTATTACGACGGTTTTCGGCGTCACATGTTTTCGCGTGTTGTTGCCGCCTTGGCCTCCCAGGGAGCTCTTGATGTCACGGCTGGATGCTCCTCGTGCTTTAATCAGAACGCACATTGGGGAAACACGGGGCGTCTGGGGTCGCCATCGTCATTGTCGTCGTTGTCGTCGTCGACGAAGGGGGCCGGGACGGTGCCGACGGAAGCCGCCGTGGCCAGAGGAGGGCCACGACCCGAGCATCGAGCAGGGACGACGACGCCCACGCGGCAACACGTCTGGCGTACATCGCTCGGCCTCGGCCACGATTCGCAACGTGAATGCCAGGCACGCAGACAGGGGCGGCTACACATTTGGGGGTACCGGGATGGTGAGTAAGCTCTGGGTGGAGACGCCGAACCACGATCGCCCATTCATTGACGGTCGGTGCTTGGGAGTCCCAGTCTGCACAGGGATTTTCGGTTTTGCTATTGCGGGCGTATCGCTGATGTATCGGCGATCTGTTGCATCAGCGATTCCAGGCCTATGTCCTCCAATGGTTCCCCTTTCGGCTAAAGTCGCTTACGTATTCACGGCAACACGTGTGGCGGGGTGTTGATGATAGGCCCGTTTGTGCCAGGTGATCATGTTCATTGCGACGGAAGGATTTGATGAGGGCGTTGGGGGAGGGTCAGTGGGGGAAGCGAACAGCAATGCAGCATGGGCAAAGAAGTAGAGCATCTCCGCCTTGCTGTGCGCTCGATAAGGCTGGATGTGCCTCAACTTCGTCAATGTCGGCGCCTTCTGGGGCCGCTGGGGGAGGGCAAAGGGATCACCAACAGTGATCATGTCTTCGCGCAGGGTCGGCGCTGCATGTATATATTAAAGTGGCTTAGGCCATTCCGCCGACACCCCGAAGGGGAAACAAATCCAAGGGCGAGGTTTTTTGATGGCACCGTTGGGGGCCGCTGGGGGCTTCTGTTTCGCCTCTTGAAAGCCTTCTGGGGCCTCCTAGGGTTTCTTGGGCGCCCACTGGCGGTCTCGGGGGTCCTCTTGGGGCGCAGGGTTCGACATGTCAGTTCGAAATACCCCTCTTGGGTCCCACTTTGGGCCATCTTGAGCTCTTCGTAAGCCGTCTTGGGTGCTTATTGGGCCGTCGTGGAGCCATCTTAGGGGGCCTCTTGGGCCGTTGTCGACGATGCTGGCACCAAACAAGTGAACATGTTAACAGTTTACGTTTCGCACTTTCACACACGTTGTGGGGCTATGTTTTCTTCTGGGGCCCTCTCCTGGGTCCTCTTGGAACCCTCCTGGAACAGTCTTTGGGCGTCTCGGGGGTCTCTTGGGCCATGTTGATGCCATCGGTGGTGTTTGTGAGGCCTCCTCGGCGTGTTGAAGCCTGGCGTGAGTCAGCATCTTGGACATGTTGGAGGCCACGGAGTGAAGATTTGTAATCTCTGGAGGCTCCGGGGGTGCCTTGGCGAGCTCGTACCCCCCCCCGCCCCCCTCCTCAAGTTTGATTTCGGAGGACAACCAAACGTCTCACACGCCTTGTCCCCCCTGGCAAGCGAGGGTAGGCGGATCCATTGCTGGCATCTTCTTTGGAGCGCATAAGAAACGATATAGCACCCTGCACCTGCGCATACGAATGAGGGGGCGGGCGCGGGTGGGGTCGCGGGTGGGTCGCGGGCGAGTCGCGGGTGGGTCGCGGGGTGGGTCGCGGGTAGGTTGCCGGCGGGTCGCGGGCGGGTCGCGGGTGGGTCGTGGGTGGGTATCGCGGGCGGGTCGCGGGCCGGTCACGGTGTGGGTCGCGGGTGGGTCGCGGATGGGTCACGGGTGGGTCTCGGGGTGGGTTGCGGGTGGGTCGCGGGTAGGTCGCGTGTGGGTCGCGGGTGGGTATTGGGTGGGTCGAGGGTGGGTCGTGGGCCGGGTCGCGGGCGCGACGACGACGACGACAAGCAACCCCCAAGAGACAACAACATCCAAACAACAAACAACATGACACACAACACACAACAAACAACAAACCAGCAACAAACACCACACAACAGACAACAAGCCGCAAACAGCAAATGATAAACATCACACGACAAACAACAATCAAACAACAGACACCACCACCACCATCATCAACAACAACAACAACCGCAAGAACCACAACAACAACAATCAGTGTAAGACGGTTCGCTTTTACCTGCTCGCGTGTCATTCAACACGTATATCCCAAATCCTCGGTACCCGCCTTGTTGGTCTTTGGTCGTAGCCCCTTGGGGCATATTGTCCTCACCTGCCGCGTGTAATTGGGGCCGCCCTGGAACAGGGAAAGAGAGGACGGATGGAAGGGGGAGGGAGAAGGATGGGTCACGGAATTCGCAGGAAAGTGGGTTCGGAAAAGAAGACACGCGGCACAATCAGACGGACCCATCGTGCGGGTAGACCTTAATGAGCGGGTCTGGAAGGCGGGCCCAAGCGGTCAGGTTGAGAAGGTGTGTTGCTGAAGCCTGAATATTGCATGAATCGGGAGGAGAGCTTGGGCGATAGCGCGACTCCCAAGTAAATCATGAGAAAAGCCAGAGCGAGAGCGTGATTTCTGAGTGTCTAGGGCGCGGCGTCTGAATCATTTGCGGGGGCTTCCCACGCGGGAGCTCGATTCCTGCATCATTTGTGAGGAAGTCCCGCGCGAGAGTTCGATTTTGGAATAGATTGTGAGGACGCATCAGGCGGGAACTATTGTTGGTGTAGTTCGGGGCCCAATGACACAGCTTGGAAAATAAGCACGCTTTCTTTGCTAAAAACCAGGGTGCGGTCCTCGATGGGGAGCACCTACATTGAAAGCGAACAATGGTTACCCGACGGGGGTCAACAATGATTATTGTTTAGATATGGGTTCAATAGCAACGAGAACATCAGCAATCAGTTTACCCGAATACCCCATGCTGTTTTATGCGGCATGCATCCATCATGAGACCTCTCCCTTCATAGGGGAAGTTGTCTTTGCGCACGGGGTATGCTGTTCCCTCTCCCTGATCTCCCGTCCGAGGAGGTCTCGACAACACCTCTTCCGAGGTATTTCAAAATTGCCAGCCCAGATGGCACATCGCCTTCGCGATCTCTTTGCCCAGGCCCTTCTAGGTACCACGACGCCAGAGTGGCCTGAGACCTCTGGGAGAGGCTTCACAACCTCTGGGGGAGCTCCGTGGAGAGCTCCCATGAGCTTCTGGGAGAAGCTCCAGAGCTTAAGCCCCTAGGCACACGACCCTTTCCAGGGGGCCGTGTTTGCAGGAGTGCTCAGCACCGGGATCCTCGACATTTCTAGGCTGGGCAAAATGCGTGGTGCCCTTCGTGCTGTAAGCTCAGGCATTGGATAAGTTCATCAACGAGCATTTGGATGCGCAGCAGTGCGCGTGCATCTTGGGCGCGCAGATTTCAAGCCACATTTTGCGTTGCATCTTGCAGGCCGCTTCAGTTTTCTTGTTTCCTCCATGAGTCGTTTCCTCCATGAGAGGAAACGCAAAACAGTCAAGAGATTCGCCACTGACGCGTTCAGCTTTAGGTCGTGCGAGGAAAAACGGACCCCTGGAGGCCGTCAGCGCCCAAGCGCTTTACGACCTAACCTGCCCGAGGCAAGGGGTCGACCTTTTCGTGCCCGGGGCCCCAGCACACAAACTATTGCACGTTTTGGGTTTTTGTTTTTTTTCGGTGATCCAGTTCAGGCGGAAATCCACGCATCGAAGGGCGCGTGCGTGCAGGGCAGGGTATCCAATTGAGGTGTGTGTTGTCGGTCATGGCCAACGGTGAAGTTGATTTTGGGCACGTGAACTTCCGCGCGGGATTTGCTGCCAATGTTTCGCATGCGTATCCGTGCGGCCAGCAGTTTTATAACAGTATCACTTCGTTGAGTGTTTGGTTGGGGAACAACGTATTTGGTCTGATATGCAGAGTTGCTGGAGCCTTGCATGTATGTGAGAACAGAGACTGATCAGATGTCGACTGTGCTTGTACCTCCTAAATTCAGCGTTGCGCAATATTCGCAATAATGCCTTTAACGATTTTCATTTCGAACATCGTGAATGAAAACGTCAACGTGCTAGCGCGACCGGTGTGTTTTGGCACTCTCGGGTTGGATTGCTCAATGGGCTGTTGCATGGCGTTGGGTGCCGTCATGTTCCTCCTCCTCCGCCTCTTCCTCCTTCCTCGTTGTTTTGTTTTACCATTTTCACCAAATACAGCGTTGGATTTGGCATAGTGTCATTATATTATGTACGGCGTAATGTTTGCCAGCGCTAAACATGCAAAGTGCATGTGAAATCAAACCTGTACATATGATGAGTTCGCGCTATGTGAATGGCATTCCCTTGAGCGTTACCTTGAAGGCTAAGTGGGTAGGGGTTCTTGTCAAATAGGACATGTGTCCACGGTCCACCACTTAGTAACCATTCCGGCGGTCCCAGCACAGCCTTTAACTCATACCAAGGGTGGGGGTCTCGGGAGGGGGGTCCGGAGGGGAGTTTTGGGAGGGAATCCAGGGGGGGGTCCCACGGTGGGATCTCGAGGCAAACGAGGGGGGCGCCCTTCTATAGCACCCGTTCCTGAAGGATGAAGGTAATAGGAGGGGGGTGGGGTAAGGCAGGAGGCAGGAGGGAACAAGGAGGGTGTGACAGAGGGTGATGTGGCGAACCGACGTGGCGGTCCGCCGGAGGTGGCGCCGCGGCGGGGGGGCGGCGGGGGGGGTCCTGCCCAGGGGAGGCTTTGAGCCTGCGGCCCGAGGCGACGGTGCAGGCAGAGGCGCCGCTTGCAGGCCACAGGGGGGCCTGCTGCTGCCCCTCCCTTCAGGGCGGGGGGGGGGAGCCGGGAGGGCTTGTGAGATCGGGGAGGGGACGGCGAGGGGAAGAGGAAGGAGTTTGGGGCGTTCGCGCTTCATCTGACATCCTACCCCTTCCTCTCATCCCCTCGCGTGGCGCTGAATTTTCTCTATCAAGGGACGCGTGTCATAGCCGATTTGCGACTCCCACAGAAAGGCCATTTCGTGTCATGCGCAATCGGTACAAGGGGAGTGCACAGGAGAGTGGTGGCGAGTGGGCAGGAGGATGAACGGGAGGAGAAATGGACGACGACGAACAGCAGCAGCAGCAGGAATTAAAGCGCAAGGATCGGGAGGAAAAGGCGGAAGAGGGGAGGCGGAAGAGGGGAAATGATGGGGGCGCCAACGATGAATGTTCAGAAAAGTTGCCCGCGTTGGGGCGGGACGAATTGCGGCAGCAGGAACTGGAATGGAAGGAACGGGAGGAACAAGAAGACCAGGCGAAAGGGGAAAGCGGAGGAGGAGAAACGAGGGGGGACCGCAATGAAGCAGAATTCGGATCTAGAAAAGTGGGCCGCGATGGGGCGAGAGCGCCATTCTGAACGACGGGAACAAGGCGCCAATCCGAAAATGAGGCCCATGCTGCAGTGGGAACGCCATTGCGAAGCAACCACTGGAGAGGATGGTGTGGGAGTGGGCGGCGAGATCCGATACCTACCATCGCCGATCAAATAATTCAGGCAATTCGATGGGCGGCGGGGGTAGAGTTTCGAACAGTCGAACTAGTGGCGAACTCCGAACCCTATTCTCGACTCCGAATATCGATTCAGGAGAATCGACTGTCGGCGGGAGGTCGGGTTCGGATGTCGCCACCTAAGTGTGAGGCGGGTGCGGGTGGCGGGGAGGGGTAGAGGCGACAGGACAAGCTCGGCGGGCTCGCGCCACATCTGACATCCTACCACTCCTACACATCCCTTTCCACTACGCTCATTATTTTTCTACCTGCGGGCGCGCGTCATAGCGGACCTGGAACTTCCCCTAAGACCCATGGTGTTATGCGCATTCGGGATATGGGAGCTGGGTAAATAGGAGGGGCAGGACGAGGACGAGGACGAACAGCAGCTGCGGGAACTGGATTGGAAGACGCGGGGGGACAACAGGACCGGGGGAAGGCGCAGGAGGGGAAATGAGGGGGGCGACGACGATGAGGAAGGACTCGGATCCAGAAATGTGGCCTTCGTTGGGGCGAGAGGGCCATTCTGAACGTCGGGAGCAAAGCGCCGATCCGAACATGAGGCCCCCGCTGCAGCGGGAACACCATTCTGAAAGACCGAACATAATCGGATTGCAACGAACCGTAAGACACATAATGGATTGAAGACTTGTGGTGTGTGAAAAGCAATGCGCGGAGGGGGCCCGACATCTTCCCAATAGGGTCAGGGTAGCGAGGGAAGTCGTCTTCAACGTGTATTGTTGAGCGAAACGCCGAGAAGACCAACAAATTAATCGCTTTCGGTGTAGGAAGAGTTTCGGCCTGTAGGGACAGTCCTTGGTAGGGCCCGTGGCCGCTTGGATCCGTCTTACGACGGTCATGCCGCCTTTTCAGAGGCATGTCGGAACTTATCTTGAACCGGCCTGGGTTTTCCGGAAGGATTTCGCCCCCATGCCGCCGGCTCCCCTCTCTTAGAATGGGACTTGCCAGAGCTGTGTTGGGATGTCTGGACGCTGACGTGAAGCAATGTCGGGACTTCACGTGAGGGCCAATATTTACTTACGACGGTTTATACTCTGGGTGGCGCGAATGTTAAGTAATTTGTTATGGTTTATGGCTTCGGGGACACGAACATAGCGTCTCTTACGAGGGTCTGTGGCCTCGGGGAAGCAACTATTGCGTACATCATGAAGGTTTCTGGCCTTGGGGGCGCAAACAGTAAATTATTTACTAGGGTTGATGCCCTCGGGGACGCGAATCTTGTAATTTGAAAGGGTTCGTGGCCTCGGGGAAGCAAGTATGGTGTAATTTAAACGGGCTGGTGGCCCTGGGGGCGCGAGTATTGGGTAATTCTACAAGGTTTATGGCTTCGGGGGCGCGAATATTTCTAATTTTCGATGGTGTATGGTTTCGGGGGCGCGAGCATTCAGTAATTTATATGGTGTTATGTGTTCGGGGACACGAAGATGGTGTAATCTACGAAGGAGTACTGTTTCGGGGACGCGTGTTGTCTACATTTCGAGGGTCTATGGCCTCGGGGATGCGATTATGATGTAATTTACTAGGGAGTATGGCCCCGGGAACGCGAATCTCGTGTATTTTTACGTCCCCCGGGAATTCAGACAACGCGATTCGGGGACGCTAGCCAGGACGCTTTTCGGCTCCCCCCCCCTCGCGCGTTCAGCAATAATTAACAATAAGGAAGCAGAAAGCAAGACTGTAACAGTGGAAACCGGAAACTGGAACTGGCGCAGGGATTTGCAAGCCTAGAAGAGTGATCGGGGGAGGCCCAGACCTGTTGTCCCCGCGGGCCATCATGGAGCTGCTGCGCGCGGAGACCCCGGGCCAGCGGGACCGCGGCGGGGGCCTCGATTCAAATTGGTTCGAGCCAGAGGGTGCCGTCGGCCCTTCCGCTCTTCTCGCGGAGGACTACGAGGAGGGGTAGTTGGCGGGAGGGGGAAGGGAAAAAGGAGGGGGAGGAGAAGTAGGGGGAGGAAGGGGAGGAGGAGTGAGTTTCTTGCCGTCTGCGGGAAAAAGGAGGGGGATGAGGAGGAGGAGGGGGAGGAGGGGGAGGAGGGGCAGGAGGAGTGAGTTTCTTGCCGTCTCGAGTCCCCAGTCCCGTGCCCCCTTTGGCCCTTCTCCTTCCAGCCTCCTCCAGGCTTCCCGGGCAGGCCCAGGAAGACGATGCATCGTTCCTGTTCATCCCGGTGTGGTCTTCTTCCTGTCGTCGTCTTAGCTTCCTCCCCCTCCCTCGCCCTCTTCATCGTTCCCAGGACGGGCCGTCGAGATGGCTGCCGCCCGTGCGAGCTCCTACCCCCAGTGGGGAACGGGCGGTGCAGTGTACATCACGAGTAACGGGAGCAGGCGAGTATCTTCAGGAAGTGATGCGCAGCCCAGCTACAGCTCGGGGATGTGTGGTTTGTCTTCCTGGGTGGGGGGGGGAAGGGGGGGCGCTAGTTTCGACGCCCCCCTCGAGAAATTGCCGATACGATGGGTTCCTGCAGGGGGGTAACGATCACAGTTCCCCCAGAGTTGTGGCTGGTCGGCCTCAAGGGCGCACTGCAGATAAGAAGATGGCGCGTGCGAGGCTTCAGAAATAGCAATGGTCCATCGCGGCGCACAGCTGGGAGGTTTCGATGAAGATTCTGCCGTGAACATTTTCACGATCAACGAGACCGGGAGCTCCCAGGCAGTTGTTTTGCTGATATGCGCGGCACATGCGAGCGCGTTACAGATCTACAAGACAAGGTTCACCTCTGTTTGTTCCAGTGTCTCACACTTTTACCCATGCGTTAGGATAGCTGTACAATGCACTTGTATCTGAACAAACGTATTGATACTAGCAAGAAGGCTTATAGTTTAGGACAGGCGCTGTGGCTATGTGATCGTAGCGGTTGTGGTCATCATGATGGCACGGCGATTTGTGCAATACGATATTCTTATTAACCATGAGGCATAACCTTTTTCCCTGGGGAATTAGTGTGCCGTCTACAAGGTGCTCGTAACTATCAATCTGTGTGATGCTTGATGCTTGCAATTGGAGTCGCGCGTCACGGTGCTTCTGTTGTCTCGCTAATAAAGGTTCCAGGCCGTGTTCTTTCCATGCGCGATGTTTCATGTTGTGCCGTGCGAGGGGGTCTTTCCAGGGCCCTTGTCAGCAAATCATGCAGCGCGCCGTGCCGCCGCGCCGCCTCTGCCGCGCCAGTTCTCCCGGCGCATAGGCGAGCAGCTCTGACAGGTTCAAGCAGTTCGTGAAAAGTTGGTGGCCCAGGGGGGGAGGAGGAGGAGGAGGAGGCCTGCGCCTAGCGAACTACCAGAGACCGCGTCCATAAGGCCATCAGGAGGATCGTGCCTCGAGCCTCGATGAGACATGTTTCGGACGTGTCGGGCCCTCTTTCTGTCAGCCTCTGGGGGCTTCTGGAGGCTTCCAGGGATGTCCAGATACCTCATGGGACTTCCCGGTTTCCCACTCTTCCTGTGGGCCCATTTGCTTCTATTTTTGTCCACGTGCTCTTTGTTCTTCCTCGTGCTTGTTGGCCACTCCCTCCTCAGGTGTTCCCTCGTTTCTCTCTCCCTCTTCCCTCTGGGGCACCGCCGGACGGCTCGACGGGGGCCCATCCCCACTTCGCACCAACGAATTGTCCTTGGGCACCCAGCAAGTGACGGAGAGGCAGTCGACGCAGTTTGACGTTGGCAACCAGCTTTTGTGGAGTGTGCTACATTCTAATGGCCTGCCGCATGGTGGCAGGCACAAGCGCATGGATGGAGCATCTTCTCCGTCCCCACTGGCGCCCGCAGGCCCCAAGCAGCTTCTATTGGGAACCCCTAGAGGCAATACGCTCCAGCCCGATCTGTCTCACAGCCGACCTCGACCACTGCGTGCACCACTATCTGGACCCGAATGAGATAGGCAAGGTGCACACGGCTGATTGGCTTAAGAAAGCCAATTCTTGTTTCTCGTCTACACAGCGCCGGCAACACCAGGAAGCGTTCTCACCCCATGGGTTCCAACACTGTCCTCAAAGGCAAGACCTCCAAAGGGGAGTTCAAAACAAGTCGGGCAAATACTTACCCACCCAACGTGTGTAGACACATCGCAGGAGCCATCTCTGAATCTACAAGAAGCCCAGTGTGCTGACATACGCGATTGTGATGTGATGGCCGAGGAAGGTTACCCTGACTTAGTGTAGGGACTCCAGGATGTCTGCGTCAAGGAGGTGGGTGATGAATTCATGGGCGCACGCGAAGAACAGAAGGAGCGATATGTGCACATACATATATATACATATAAATAAAAATGACCCGGAGCATCGCAGGCTCAGGACATCGAACCTTGCACCGACTCCGACTCCTACCCCTGCTCACGTGGATACTATGGCTTGCGAACCGATCCCAGCTCCTGAGGGGGGCACTCCTTCCCTGGCTGCACTAGACCAGGGCGCGGGGCACGAGGCTGAGGATTTCCTGGGCTCGTTCTGCTACTGCACTGGGTCCATTGCGCAGAATAGCAAGGACACCAGCTATATTACCGTTGCCACAGTGATTCCGTGGCAGATCTTGAAACCAACTTTTAGTGCACGCGCCCTTCTCACAGTCAAAGGCTCCACGCTGCCTCGGACTGTTCCCAAGCGTTTGGCTCATCTTCAAAATGCCTTGGGCGTTTTTTTGTTTGCGTTTTCTGTTTGGGTTGTTGATGGACTGAAAGCGCTAACAAAACGAGTAATTTGTGTTAGCGTTCTTAAAGTAGGTGTCTAGCGTCACCTGCCTCGTCGTAACATTCATAGATAGGGCGGGGTTTGAAGCTGGTGTCCGTGCGCAGAGCTGAAAGCAGAAAGTAAACAACACGAGCGCTCTGATCAAAGTGCGAAGCAGGTTTGGAAGCCCAGGGCCCGTCCGCCGTGCACTCCGACGAGTGAACACAACAGGCTTGAACACGCTGTCGGCACAATGTGTTATCTAAGCGTTTGCGGCCGTCCGGATTAGATTTGAAAGCGCCCCCCCGAAATACAAAACAGCAAAACGCACAACACAACACCTCCAAGACGCCGAACTGAGAACGCTAAAAGCGCCCAGGGCAGATTTCAGACGAACCAGGCCCAAGCGGAACAGGAGAGCACGCAGAAGCACGATGACATCGAGAACGCGTATTTCATGATGCCACATGGTTTTTGCGCCAGCAGTTTCAGTGTTGGGGCCGAGAATTGTCGAATCGTGTGCATGTGGTGCTACAGATCCCATCGAGATTCTTACGCCGTACATGCGACGACCGTTGAAGCAATGCAGCCGATAATTACATGTGCATGCGTACGGTGCCAAGCTTGAACGATGATGCCAGAATGTTGACCATGATGAGCAAGGACAAGTCAAACCGAATTATCAAATTTCAACTGGCAATCCCAACTGGGCATCTATTCAACACTGTCGCGAACAGCCTGTTTTAGAAAATTTTGCCACTATACGTTCATACAGCACGCAGACAAGTGATGCATCCATGGGCGACTGCCTTACCATATCGTTCGTGTTGCATGTGTTTGGCATCTGACGCTGCGGAGATGAGTCACTACCAAAAGCAATAGCAGGGAACGTTAGCAGCAAACTGCAGTGCGTGCAGCGCGCTGCTGGGTTGAAACACAGGCGCGCAGATGCGCGAGTGAGGGGGTGAGGGAGGGACGACGAGGAGAGGGCGAGGAGCGGCAGGGTGGGAGGAGGAGGAGGAGGAGGAGGAGGAGGAGGAGGAGGAGGAAGAGGAGGAGGAGGAGGAGGAGGAGGAGGAGGAGGAGAAGAATGAGGGTCGAGGAGGAGGATCGGGCGAAGGGAGGCGCGGGAGCGGGGAGTGGGCGCGAGCCGAGGCGGGCGCGCGGGAGGGGTGCCGACGGGCGCAGGTCGCCGGACGTGAGGCCGCCACGGATGGAGCCGATGAGGCAGAAGCTCCGATCGGTGGGGCCCTGGCGCGCGCGGGGTGGACGCGATGAGGGGGGACGCCATGGGGGTGGACGCACAAGGGTGGACGCCCCAGGGTGGACGCCTGAGGGGCCCAGGCTTCCTGGCCACTCGGAGAGAAATCACGCGGGGGCTTTCTTTTTCGAGGGGAGGGGCAGCCGTATGAGGAAGCAAAATTGCATGAGCACAGATAGCAGATAGCATGGCATAGGTTTTTGGATGTCCGCGCGGACCTCCGACAGTTTGTTTATGTGTCGTTGAAGGGGAAGTCTTCGGCGTCTGGGGTGGTGGTGGGGCGTTCCGCACTTCCCGGACCGTCCAACAAAAACAAGTTTGGATGAACGGTTTGCAACGAGAACGGGGTCGGGAGCTCCAGTGACGCGCGACTGGATAATTCGAGTCGTCGCAGTGTTGGGGTGCGGATCTTCCAGGCTTTGTTGAACTCCGTTCCGTCCACCTTGCTGCATCAGGGCTCGCTCCGAACTTCTGGATCATCCTGCGCTCATCAGTGGTGCACGGTGGACTCCTCCGCTAGGCCTCCTTCCAGTGTCCTCCGCACGATCTCTCTCCAGTGCTTCCCCTCCGAGGTCTGCCCTTGTATTCCATCGCGAAGTTTCCCCTCCGACCTGTCCGTAACCCAGATCCTGTTCGTTTGGGCTCCCAGCTCTCAGTTTCACGCCCTGGCTGCCGCATCCCACCCCGTCCCCCAGGTTTGCCCTATTGTCCCCCTTTCATCTTAATCCACCTCCCTCTGCCTCCCTCGCGTCTGATCCTTTCCCTCTCTGCTTCTGTTGTCCTCCCGCCTCCTCTCTTCCCTCCGTTCTCCCGCTTCTCTCTCTATATTCCTTCCGCTCTTCCTCCCCCTTCATTCTCCCTCCGCCTAACACTTATCTGTTCCTCCCTTCCTCCCGCTCTCTACAATTACTCAATATGAATACTACTCTCCCTCTTCCCCTGATGACGGTTTGAAAGTGCTCGACCCCCCCCCGCGTACTGTTTTTTTACACAGGTTTCCCCAGAGTTGGGTTTTCGCCTGCATTTTTTTTCAAAATGCTGCTCTCGCTGAGGCGCCGACTTCATTTTCGGGCCCCGCTCGTTCCGAGTCGTGCTCCCGCTGCAGCGGTGGCCTCATTTCCGTGCTTCCTCTCGTTCCGAGTCGTGCTCCCGCTGCAGCGCTGGCCTCATTTCCGCGCTTCCGCTCGTTTCGATTCGTGCTCCCGCTGCAGCGCTGGCGTCATTTCCCGTGCCATGCCACGGCATGCAATGCAATGCTAGGTTGATACTACGCTTTGTGGTGCTCTTCTACGCCATGCCATGCTGCATTCTACAATGCATCGCGTACCCTTTCGGGATCATTGCCTTGCTCGACATCCGACTGTGCGAGTAGAGAGGGGATCTGCGCCATGGTAAGGGATGGGAGGGAGGGGTAGGATGTCAGATTTGACGCGAGCGCACCTAGCTTGCCCTTCCCCCATCCGCCTCATCCGCCCCCTCGTGGCGGAACGCGGTCCCAGCGCTCGTTGAGTTGGTGCCGACCCTTTTTCCGAGTGCATGGCACCAGCCCCCCCCAGGGCGCGTGACCCGCTCGTCGCGGGGGGCGGAGCTATCGCAGGGCTTACCCAGGCTCCGCCCCAATGGTGTGAGCCACTCCGGCCAGCTTGTTCTCGCCCGGGGGGGCGCCTCCGATCAGCCGCGCGTGCGTGGGAGGCCCTGGATCCGGGCGCACGTCGTCAGCACCACGAGGTTCCACGGCCCGCGCTGCCGATCCCGCTTCCTGCATCAGCGTCAGGAGAACGGGCCTTGGAGAAAACCCAGATTGCCAAAAGCAATGCGGATCAGTTTGGCCGTCTGCGGTTTCTGGTGGCCATCACCAGGCCTGGGGACCGTCAAACTATCCAGAATGACAAACCGGTCTTGGGGGACAGAGACCCCGCATTGAACAATTATGTGTATAGTGGGTATTCCACGATGTAGGTGAACGTTGTGTAAGTGACGCGGTGTAAGCTATGTCGTGCAAGTATGTAAGCTACGTCGTGTAAGCTACACGGTGTGAAATGGAGGTGAGCGCTGTGTTGTGCAAGTTATGCTGTGTAAGTTATGCGGTGTTATGTGGTGTGAGCCATGCTGTGAAAGTTATGCCGTGCAAGCTACGCGGCGTGAATTGGATGGGAAAGCTACGGGGTGCAGGCTATGTTATGTAAGCTATGGTTTGTAAGTTATGCGTTTAAGCCATGTGTTGCAAGCCACGTGGTGTGAGCAAATGGCGAAAGCTATGTCGTGTAAACTATGCCTGTGAACGGGAGGCGACACCTATGGGGTGTCAACTATGTAGGTGAGCTACGTGGTGCAAACTATGTTGTGCAAGTGTCTTGGTGCAAGCAGTGTGGTGACAGCTATAACGTGCAAGCTCAGGGCAAGGCGCCCACGAGGCGGCACGGGCGGCAACGTGGCGCAACCACGCATACCGCATACCCCTCAAGAGCGGGATGCCTAAGAGGCGGCACGGGCGGCAATGCGGCGCAACTTCGGCATACCACCCAAGCGCGGGACGCCCACGAGGCGGCACGTACGGCAACGTGGCGCAACCTCGACATACCTCCCAAGCGCGGGGCGTTCGCAAGGCGGCGCGGGCGGCAATGTGGCGCAACTTCGGCATGCCTCCCAACCGCCGGACGCCCACGAGGTGCCCACTAGGCGGCACCAAATATTGAACAAGACAAAGTCAGAACCCCTAAGTGCAGGCACTCTATGGGTAAGAGAGAGAGAGAGAGAGCGAGAGAGAGTCCCTTCGGCCAATCCCGCAACCCTGCTTAAGTAGACGGTCGGAGGCGTCTCGGATGCCTGTCGGGGTTTCTCGGGATGCCCCTCGGAAGTTTTTGTTGGGATAGTTTTGCTTCGTCGAAGTAAGCTATATAACGCAAGTGGCACCCAAGTGATATCACTGGGTCATATCGATCCCAGCGGGTGTCGATCCCTCGCGCGTAGATCTTGGTTTGTGGGTCAGAGTCCGTGTCTCTTTCTCTCTCCCTCCTATCTCTCTCTCTCTAGAGAGAGAGAGAGAGAGAAAACAAAATAAGAGAGAGAGAGAGAGGGAGGAAGAGAGAGAGAGAGAGAGAACAAATCACCCCACACCCACCTGGATTATTTTCACATTTTTTCTGGAATGCTTGTGTATTTAGTCGACACGCCCCTACGGTGACGACTGTGAATCGTGGCATTTCTGGTTTCACTCGGTTTATGAATATGTTTTCGTTTCATAAAACATGATGGCGATGACGGTGGCGATGATGATGAGTAGGTTCAGGATGGTGACGTTGATGATGATGGTGATGATTATCATGATGAGGATGTCCGCTACCCCCAGTTTACGTTATCCGGAAACGCTTCTCTCGAGCACGTAGATTTCGATGACGATGGCGATGAAGACGACGATGGCGAGGATGACCAGGATGGTGACGACGGCGATCATGAACGTGATGAATTTAATGATATGTAGAAAATGATGGTGACGTCCTTGGCGATGCTGATGGTGCGCATGAAGACCCATATGATGACGATGAGGATGACGATGCGGATGACGCTTGTTGTCTCGGTTTGTGCATGGTGTCGTTATCTCGAATGCCGGCGGGTCTGCCTGCCGTGACCAGTCCGACGTGAGCACCCGCGACCGCGGCGTTAGTCGTCTCTCCTCGTTTTGTCATGTTTCTTTATTTCTCCCTTCCTCCTCCTTCGCTCGCGCGGGTCTTCAGTGCGAGCACCTCGGATATAGCCCCATACGTATGCGCGCTCGCGAGCTGCCTGTCTGCCCGGGGGATGCCAGCCCATCCTCGGCGCGGTATTTTGTCTGTTCCTGCTCGCTTCTCCTCCCGCCCCTCCGCCTTCGCCCTCGAACTCCCCCCCCCCCTCTCCCGCTATTGCTTCCCTTCTCCAGGACGCCCGGGGCGGTGCGTTCGTGCACCTTGTCCGCGCGAGCGCTGCGCGGCGCGGCCCGAGGGCCGTTCAGGGTTTCGTTGCCCCCCCTCGCGACGCTCGGGTCAGGGGCGCCTGGCCTACGGGCCCGGCGCGAGGAGTTGGAGGAAACAGCGCAGCGACGACGACGACGAGGACGTCCACTGGGACGAGGACGAGCCTCGATGCGGCTCGCAGCCACCGCGTTCCGCGCGTCGCAGATTATTGTGCCTTCAACTAGAACCGAACCGCGCGAAACGCTCGCGTGGCTCTAGCGTGTATATGTATATCTATATGTAAGTGTATATGTCTATGTATATGTCTATGTCTATGTATATGTATATGTATATGTATGTATGTGTATATATACATACACGCTAGAGCCACGCGAGTGCTTCGCGCGGTTAGGTTCTAGTTGAAGTCACGTTGATTTGTCACGCGCGGAACGCGGTATATATATATATATGTATATATATATATGTATATATGTGTGTACATGCGTATGTGTGTATGTGTATATGTTTATGTATGTATGTACGTATGTACGTATGTACGTATGTACGTATGTACGTATGTATGTATGTATGTATGTATGTATGTATGTATGCATGTGTGTATATATATATATTACACATACATACACCCGCCCACGAGGCCCAGGGGCCCGGGGCCCGGGCCTCGAGCGCGCATGGGAGGACCGGGCTTCCGAGACTGCTCCCAGAGCACCCCGGCGGGGCGGTGGAGTTCCCAGACTGCCCCATATCGGCTACACGTAAGAGTGACCCTTGGCCAGAGTGACCTCTAGTGTTGGCCCTAATGGTGTCGGACAGATTCTCTTGAGGAGAGCGCTCGGCCTCGTGTCGGCGCACGCTGCACCAGTCTGCGATCGCATCACAGCGCGCTTGATTCAGGGTGCGCCCCTCGCAATCGATCGCAACGCACGCACGGTGAATTCTGCCGCGTGCTTCGTTTGGCGAGGGGGGGCCCAGTCGAGCGGGCGACGTGCTCTCCGCTTTGGGACTGGTCCCAAATCGTCATGGAATAACTTTGACTAACTTTGACTAACTTGGAATAACTTTTCGCATCCCGCGCTTTACAACTCAATTCTTTTCTATTGAAAGTTATTTGCGGCCGCGGGGGGGGCAAGGGTCGGCCCGGTCTCGGCCTTGACGCCGGACCCGGTCAGACGTCATCGCGATGCGGCCCGGCAGTGCCAGAACATTCCGCGGTGGCGCCCGATTACGTCTGGCTTCGCAGAGCCATCGGGCGGGTGTTCTGGGGTGCCCGGAACGAATTGGCGGAAGTCCGCAATTGCATGCTGGCGCTAGGGATCTATCGAAGCGCGCCCCACCGATCGCTGATGCAATCCGACGGCCTCGGCTTGCGCGGTTGCTCCAGGCCCCCACGGGCCCCCCTAAGGCCGCGCACCAAAGGGCACTCTTGCCTAGGGTCACTCTTTCGTGTCGCCGACCAGAGAGTTCCAAGACGCTCCCAGAAGCCCCCGGGGGACTTCGACAAACCCCTCCAAGACAGCCCAGATAGCCCCAACGTGGCCCAAGATGGGTTCCGGACCGCAAGTGCACAGCCCAAGAGGCCTCCACGAGGCCTCAAAAGAGCTCCGGGAGGTGTCCAGAGAGACCCCGAAGAGGCCCAAAACCTTAATTTCCATTTGTTTTTCGATGATATTCGGTTTCTCGTTTGTTCGATTTTTCGACGCTCCACGACGGCCGACGACGCCCCCAAGATCGCCCCATGACCGCCGGAAAAAAACCCAAAGAGCTCCAATACTGCCCCAGGGAACCCGAAAATTGCCCAGGAGGAGCTTCAGACGGCCCAAGAAAGCCCCAGGACTGGCCCAAGCTGGGCCCCAGAGTGGGAGCGGGAGGCCCCAAGGCGCTCCAGGACGGCCCAGATGGCCCCGACGTGGCCCCAGATGGGCCTAACACGGCCAGTACACAGCCCAAGAGGTTTCCAAAAGGCTCCAAGAGAGCCCCGCGAGGCGCCCCGAGCGAGCCCGGAGAGGCCCACACCCTCGATTTCCAGCTGTTATTTTCAATGTTTTCCGCTGTCTCACGTGTTCGAGTTTCCAACGCTCCAAGACGGCCGAAGACGCCCCGAAGATCGCCCCGAGAACGCCGAAGAGGTCCTCCAAAGAGCCCCAGGACGGCCCCAGAGAGATTGAGGAATGCCCAAGAGCACCCCAAGATTGCCCGAAATAGTCCCACGAGAAGCACCAGATGGGCCACAGAGCGGGAGCGGGAGGCCCCAAGGCGCTCCAGGACGCCCCAGATGATCCCGACGTGGCCCAAGAGGAGCTCAAGACGGCAGACACACAGTTTAAATGGCCTCCAAGAGGGTCCAAGAGAGCTCCGAGAGAGCCCAATGAGGCCCAAACCATTGATTTGCACTGGTTTGTTCAATTTTTTCCGTTTTCTCGTGTTCTCGACCTTCCGACGCTCCACGACGGCCGAAGACGCCCCCAAAACCGCCCCAAGACCGCCGAAGAGGCCCTCAGACACAAAAAAACTGCGCTAGGGAGCCCGAGAATTGCCCAGGAGGAGCCTTAGACGGCCCAAGAGAGCTTTAGGACAGGCCCAAGCTGGGCCACAGAACGGGGGCAAGAGGCCCTAATGTGCGCCCCCTTTTGCCTCCATTCCCTCCTCTCTCCTCTTCCTCCCCTCATCCCGCAGTTTGAGCTCCCTCCTTTCCTGGGACGGCCCTGCCAGAGCGCCAGACAGGCCCCGCCAGAGCGAGCGGGGCATCCTTATACCCTATCATTTCATAAGTTGCTTTGC